TACTTCTATATACGCCCTTGTACCACACGAGCTTACACAAATACAAATACATTTTTCATTCTCTTTCTTGTTATGGATAAAAGTAACTTGCTAAATTTAAAATAACTAATTAACAATAATGAGCGTTTCCCACGATGATGGAAGCATTTATTGAACTTGAATCTCGAATATGAAATGTTGAAAATTTAACTTTCTAAAATTTTTGTGCTGGTGTCGGATCTCTAGTAACCGGTCTTCAGACTAGAAAACGTTTTTTAGTATCTTTATCCTGAAGATCCGGTTGTACAAAGCTGAGCCTAGGAGATAAAATTTAGAAAATTAAATTTTCTACACTTTCTGTTCCAAACTCAAGCTTGAGAAGTACTTCATGTGTGGTGAAAAATTAAAAATCAGCTTTAAAAAAGTGGTTTTCTCAGATTTTCACTATGAAGGGGATATTTCCTAAACTTGAGTCTCGAAGATTAAACGTAGCAAATTGAATTTACTCAATTTTATCTGCTAGGCTCAGCTTTGTACAACTTGAGCTTCATGGTGCAAAACGATAATTACTGTTTCTCAACAAGGCGATTTCTCACTAGTTGCATCTGGTTGGAAATCGCCTTACACTAGATGCATCATGCGATTTTAACGATAGGATGGAATGGACTTGACTTAAAACGATGTTCAAGTAGATGAATTGATCGATATATCCCACGATGCATCGCCCGACACATTATACGATGTATCAGCCGTTTTATCGGGCGATTTCACGCGTGTCTCATCTGGAGCCGATACACAATTAGACTCATCTTCAGATATATTGCTCGCTGAATCGGGTTAATTTAATTAACTAGATACATAACCAGATACATCTAGAAATGAATCGGCTGTATCTAGATGTATCGGCCGATAACCCGATTCAACTTTTTCTCTTTTTTATGCATCTAGATGTATCGTGTTTTGTATTCAGTATATCTAGCTCCATCGGGCGATACCCAATACGTTTTTCATGCTTGGACAGTCTATCAAATTAGTGTCGCATTTTTTTATAAAGTTGAAAAATAACGTAAGAACAACCGAGTATAAAAACTAGTACAAAAGCTGAAGAAAACTTACTATTCAACACAGTGATTAAAAAATAAGTGTCCTTTCCGTACCATGTTCCACCGCCTATGAACTCTACTAAATGACCTTCGAGTAAATCATTTGGAACAAAATAAAAATCGTCTTTCAACGGATATTGTCGATAAATTCCAAACAGAAATGTAGGACCAGCACTTAGAATAATTGTCAAATGATACAAGTAGAACCAACGATTTGCGGCCTTCAGTTGAGAAACAGCAAGCTTGAAGAATGGATGGTGTCGTTTTGCCGCCTTGATGTCAGTGTTTGCAGATATGCCTTCTCCACCCATGTGAAATATAATGTCAGGTTCATCTGTTTGAATTGTGTTATTTGGTAACATGGCAGTTACAATATCTGCAACCTGACAAGACACATCAAGATCTATATAAATACCGCCATAATGGAATAATAGCAGGTACTTCATGGCATCTATTCGCTGCATGTCATAACGGTAAATGTTGTAGAGTGGTAGAAACCACGGATATTGTGCCTTTAACCAGATCAATATTTTGTTATGAGTCCATAACGTGTAGTTGTAACCAGGATTCAACTTGATGCAGGAGTTACTAGCTTTCTGGAATCTAGCAAACATTTCCTCATTTTTTATAGATGATATCCAAATTTGATGAATATGTCTTGGAATTTGTGTTTGATGACGCTGCCACACATTCTTATCAAGCTCGATCATATTGCTTACGCTCTCGCTTCGCATAAAGTGTCCAAGTAAAAA